AAGAGATCTTATTTACTGCCATACTTCCATTGCTTTTCTTAGCATCATTCGCTCCAATCTCGGTTTCTTTCCCATGGCTGCTGAACAAACTTGTACCGAAATTAGACCTCCTAACCGAAGCTTCATGGTCGGCGCCAAATTCAGAGTACATAGGATTGCTAACAGCGCCATAGTCATTGAGATCCTCGTACGGGGATAGAACAACCGGCGGAGGTAGATCTTGGTATAGATCATCACCATGTGTCGCAAATCCTATTCCGGTTTCATATCCGGGATTCTCAAACGAAGCCACTCGTAGCTCAGGACCATCACTGTTCCTTTTGTAAGAAAAAGCGAGACTTGGAATTTTTACCCTTTTGACAGAAAAAAACCAATGAAATGGATTAGGAAATATTGCAAAGAAACGAATTGTGCTACTTGATTCTGGTTTTTGTTACATTTCAATTTTTTCAGCTTTTTTTACTAATAGGCTTCTGGTGATAGTTTTTAGCTACGTCCTCCGTTATTCATTCTTAGTTTACAACGAGCTGAACAATTGCGTTGAATTCATTGTTTTCCCTCAGGATTTCGCTTTAGAGTGATTCATTAGTAGCAACCACACGACACACCCTCTTGTTTAAAGATTACTCGAGTTTTGCTGCTGTATTAGGACAAACGCTCGCTTTCGATAGTTTTTTTTTTGTTTTTGCAAATGTATCGCCTTCAGGGTATGTTTTTTCTTCCGTTTACAAGGAAACAAAAGTGGAAATTCTCTCAATACATTAAGAATCAACCTCAATTATCCACACTTTTGTTTGGTGTTTGATCTCCATTTCAGTCGTACATGTCTAGCAGCTGAGTACATGTACATGTACATGTTTCAGTATTTTTATAGAAAAAGCGCAATATAAGTATTAAATATTATTATATTATTGTTAGGTTTTATATGGTTTTAGTTCCCTTTTTTCGTATTTTTTATTGTATTCTGTGCTGCTCTCTTTTTCCCTCATTTGAGATGAATAGAGAAAAAAAAACTGGCTGTTATCTTCCGTTGGTTGCTTACCATGGAGGGTTTTGGTTTTTTTAATCTTTGCTAGTATGAATTAAGGAAATCATGAATCAAAGTTTATTACCTGAAATACCAGACCGCCAGTGCGATAACCAAGATGATGATAACAAGGGAGGCTACCACCACACCGCCGATAACTCCACCGTTGTCTCCTCCTCCCTTATTGGCAGCTGCAGAACCCGGACCAGCTGGTACCTGACCGGTCGTTGTTCCAGGTACTGTCGTGCTATCCTGGGGTTGTTTTTGTGTTATTGTCGTGGAATTATCAACCGGCATGGTAGACTGTGTAGCCTGAGCTGTTGGTCCAGGGAATTTCGACATGACACTTAATAACGTCCCTCCCAGTTTATGACCGATTTCTGCCGCCGAAGCGTTTACTATCCTGGCAAGATTTGCGCCAGATATAACAAATATTGAACCATTGGACATCCGTTTGATGACAGCTAGCTCTACTTGAAGGTTACCATTGATTTTTTTCGGTTCCTTTACTATGACCTCTGCGTGACTGAAAGTTTCCTTTGGCACTTCTCGTTTTCTTCTTGCCCCGCTTAAGAAATTGGCAAATAAAAACATTATAAGGTCTCCACAGTTTAACACCTCTATAAGATGGAAACGGCACCTCAATAAAGCTTACAATTTGCCATTAGAGCTTCGCAGCTACTGGAGATCTTTGTTGTGATTCTCAAATTAAGCTTAACAGACATATCTGTGAAACGATCGTTTGGTCGTTAAAGGGGGTAAGTGTCTAGAGAAACTGTGATGCTGCGTCGGTGGCTGAGTATAACAGGCTAATTAAGTACCGAACATAAAAGCGATCCTTGCAGTTATGAACACTACTTAACTAGTAGTTGAAATAAGGCTCTAATGTTTCAACTATTACTTAAAATAGGTAGTTAAGTAGTGTTCATAACTACGAGGATGGCCTCTATATTCGTTTCTTCAATCGCGGTACACATATATGATTTTCATATATTTACAGTCATTATTCCCCACTTTAAGGTCTTATTTGGATCCAACATAATGACCAGCTCCCAGCTGGCTAGTTAGC